AGCGTCCTTGACAACAATGCAGCTTTGATAAATTCCAGACCATGCGGCCCCCCCTGGAATTTAGTTGCATCTATCGTTGGGCGTAGCAGGTTAGATTAGCCTTATGTACACAAGGAAGATTGAGAATGGCTGTAGTAGCATCTTGACATAATCTAATATTTGTAAATTTCCAATCATCAAATGTTTCGTCATTAGTGTTTCCAAATCGTCAGGAGCCATTTTCCATCTTCAACAGTCATGTTGCCTTTCTTTGCCCTTACCATTTCTTAATATTAATAATGATTATACCAATCATTCGTTATCATGATAGAAGAATCTTAATAAGTACCTAGAGGCAATGACAAATTCCATTCATGTTTATAAAAAAAATATATCAATACAAAAAACACCTTTGGTCATTAACAAATAACAGTTCTCCTTCAGAACCATACCATATCAAGTAACGACACTTACTGTACATTTACTGATGAATGAATTACTGGCTCACGCGTCTTGGACTCTAATTATGCTAGTATTAGGGTTGTACAAAATTTTGATTTTTTTTTTTGAACGCGAATCAAAAAAAATAAAAACTGATCAGATTAAAAAATAAAAATAAAAGCTGATTAATATAGATTGATTAAAAAAAATAATAAAAACTGATCAAATCATTTAATTTTAATTTAAAAAAAAAAAAAAGTTTGCAGTAAACAAAAAGAATAGAAGAGAAAAAGAGAGAATGCATTGGTCGAGTAAATATTGTTTGAGAATGGTTGTTTTTTTTTACAAGTTATCCTAGTTATTTATAAATTTCATTTTTATTTACTTAATATTAGCGAAAATGAATTTAATGGAAAAGAAAACGTCTTGCAAAGCTTCGTCCTAAATGTTCAACGGTAAAATATTAAATAATAAATGTTTAAGCATGCTTAAATAATAATATTAACAATATTCATGATTATTATATGTATAGAAAAAAAAGAAAATATTGAATGTACAATGCCACAAAAAACGTTCTTGATTGATAGATCTGAAGTTAATGAATTGCATCACATGTTTATAAATATCAGAATGTAAATATCATAAAATATCATTGTTTAATCATTTATAATTGATTGAACACTTATTCATATATGATTGTTTACTTAAATAAAAAGGTTTATAATATTGAGATTTCAATTTTTCCCAAATGTAATTGTCCTCCCGATTTTACAAAAGATAAATTAAAAATTCCTTAATTTTTTTTTAAAAAGACAAACAAGCGATATTTCGTTTTATTTATTTCTTCCACATTCTAAATACTAGGAGATCTTTGTAAAAATGTTGCAAGTTAATAATAATGATAATATCATTATTCTTTCTACAATTATTCTCACTATTTCTTGATAAATATAAATAGTTTTTTATCTATTTGAAGATTCTCAGAGTCAATTTTGATAGTAACTACATCTATCAAAAAATATTATTACTAGAGTGATTTCATTAAAGATGGGAACCGTAATTCATTTTTTATATGCCGCAATTAGTTGCAACTAGTCGCAATTAATTGAGGAGCCACCTTTAGATTTCATTCACATCAACAGAAAAACTCGCAAGAATCTGGGTGTTTTTTGACATCCAATTGATAATGAAATATTTGAGGCATAATGTTGCAAAAAATCTAGAAAATAGTAATGTTAGCCGTTTAACAAATGAGTTAACGTGACACTTTGTGCCTTTGAAAAGGGTTTTTTTTTTAAAATTCCTATTATAATAATTGTAATAAATATTTCTAAACATACACTTTTCTTAATTTATTAAAATATATAGAAATCTATTAATTTCCTCAAAGTATACCATTCCTAAAATCAAAGATATTTATATACTAGGAGTTCAAACTTTTTTTTGACTTATAGTGGCTAAAGCATCAAGACCATCTGTTGGTATTTTACCTTGTTTATTTGTTGCACTCGCTGCATTAAAAGATACTCGAAATATTCAGAGAGCCGGTTGAAACAATACTTCTAAAGTGAAAACATATTAGACAAAACGTATTACAGTACGTAACAAAAAAAAAATGATGATTATTGATTTGATGTAAAATTATGTACAAATTTGATAATGACAACCGTCAAGTGTCACATAAATTCAATACTTTAAGTGTTGGTTCATCATTAATTTCCTGCATCAATTTTGTCTTTTATGCGATCTAGAAAAATATGAATATAAATTTTGTAATATTTTTGAAAATATCTACTTCATCATAAGCATCCTTTCCAGCTAAATGAAGCCAATGTGATATACAATAAAAGGATTGATTTTTTAAATCTTGTAACAACACCACTTTTATTTCCTGTCATATTGAAGCCTCATCATTTCCAAAATGAGTTGTTTTGTGATATGATATTTCATTTAAAATACAAAATGATAAGATTTGGTTATAAATATTTTCTGCAATGGTAGATTCTAGATTAATCATGCTCAAATATCTCATACAAGGAATATTATTGACAATATATTTTCCCACAATTGCTAAATATTTATTATTATCATTATTGTTGGCTTCATCAATTATTATACTCCAATAAATTGAGGAATTCAATTCTTCAAAAAATGATTTGTTATTACAGAAGCTATACTATCCAAAAAACCAAAAGCATATTTAGGATTTGTATAGTTCCCATATGTTGATCTAGGAGTAGATGTTTTTCTAAAGCAGCAGGTTTCAGAATAGAAGTTTTCAGTAATTATTAATTTATTATTATATACAAATTGTAATGTCATTAATTTACATAGATCAGGATTAAGGTTTCCGGTCCAAACTGTTTTCTCAAAGCCCAAACTAGTTTGGGCAATTTGGGCTTCTCGGCATTTTTTATAAACATGAACAGTGTTGAAAATTCAATCGGGGGTGTCACGTTGCACAAATTATGTGCACGTCTATTTTTTTAATTAAAAAGAATTATTTATTTATTATTTTATAA